TAAGATTAATACACGTCAATATATGGATATAATACTGTGCACGATAGTGCACGAATTTCAATTTTTCGTGTGATAACATGTATTAAATTTTTTGGATAATCAGTTTCCGTGAAACCCGTGCTTATCCGCATACAATTTCGTATCTATGCATGCATTTCTGTGTATAGTGTCTTGATACCCTATAGATTGTAGTTTTAGGGTTTATATTGGATTATTTATTCATTATTCTATTAGTCACACGCTCACATGATTAAAACATAGGTTCGTTGTAAATTTTATTTTTATTTCAGATATAAGATTGTAAATAATTGTCAGGCCACAAATTTTAATACTTAGAAAAAAACAATTTAACTTATTGAAAGGTTTAAATAGTTTATTTAGTCCTTTATACAGGCTCTCATATATCATTAATAACAGAAAATCCATTTTATAGGTACATTATTTTGATGATGTATTACATATTCATTCTTTTCAATCCTAAGAGATATGCTATATATGGTAGGTTTTACTGTGACAGCAATTTATAGATGTATGAAAAAGACAACCAAATTGACAACATAAAAAACATGAATTATTGTTTATTCATACTTGATCTTTGAGAAACTTTGCGAGTTCTTACTTTTGAGAGACCATTTTCTGAAAGCTAACATAATAGCCTTGTAAAAACCATAACCAAGACTACTAATCAACGTTAAAACAATTATCACGGCAGCACCAAAAACATCCAAATAATTTCCTCTAAAAAATCCCATTGAGTAATCCAACTTTTTAACAAGTTTCAATGTCACCTCTAGTTCACCATTTTCATTTCTAATACCATCGTATTTTGCCAGGTCCAACATTATTTTGATTAAATCTGCACCATTGTATTTTTTTTTACTGTTACATATATTTTTCCAACACTTGCAGCCTTTTCGCTTTCGTTTTAAAACATTCTTCATTCAATAATCTTACAACTTTTAATATAATATCATCAACTTTTAGATCAAATTTTGAAAGTTTTAAAGCCATTCCAGCAAGTTCCAATCTTTCGGCATTTCCAGCTTGATCAAAAGCAATTGGAAGTACTAACATTGGAGTAGCAATATATATAGACTCATGGCTACTACTTATACCACCATGACTTAAAAATATTTTAGTATTCTCATGAGAAAGTATAGCAAATTGAGGCGCATATTTTGTTATGTAAACATGTGGATGTAAATTATTTAAAAGATTTGAAGTAAGTATAGCTTCGTTAGTAGAAAGATTAATTTTCGAAGGTAGTTCTGATTCATTAAATTTTACAGTTGCCAAAATTACACTATCAAGAATATTTCGATTAATTAATTCAAGAGCGGACTGTAAAAGAATAGCGTAATTTTTAGGTGTGGTATGTATAGCAAAGCGCTAATTTAGGCAAATTTAGTTTCTTACTAGCATTATTAACGAGGTTTCGACGAGGCTTTTTGACTGAGTATGAAAAATTAGAAAATTTTCATACTCAATCTAAAAGCCTCGTCGAAACCTCGTTAATAGTGCTAGTAAGAAACTAAATTTGCCTAAATTAGTGCTTTGCTATGAAAATTTCCTCTTATAGCCCTATAATTTACACCAAATATAGGATATTTTGTCCGCAAAAATGTAAGATTTTAGCAAAGTAGTTTCGCCCAATTCGATCCGCAAATGATCTGCGAAATTTTGTTTGAAATACTGATCGATACGTACTAATTGGTCAGATTTTAACCAAATGTTTAGTTGTGTTGTCAATCAACTATGTGAGCTAATGACTGACAACAATGACCTATAACCTATCGAATCAATCCCTAGAAGGCTCCAATACACACTCTTTTACTTTTAACTAATCAAATTAATAATTTATACCAAGTTACGCCTCCAAAAAACGTTCCAATAAATGGATTAATGATTGGAAGGCATTGAATTGAAAGGCCAATGCCTTCCTATCTTCTAATTAACAAAATTGTTTTTTGAGGCGCGGTTGATTATTATTTTTGGGTGTCACCTTTCACCCATTACACTAGTAAGGAATCGCATATAGAAATACAGTAGATTAGAAAAAAAAGAAGCATCGGAAACAACATGCATTTGCAAAACAAACATTAAGCCTTAATGTATTACAGATATTTTAATATACAGTCGTCCTCCATACTATCACACAGTTGAGCACAATAAATTTTTTTAGAAATGTGTTTATAAAGGGTTGTGCTTATATGGAGGTTGTTTCTTATAAATTTAATCATAGTTTAAGCTAAATAAAAAAGTGATTACATATGATGTAATTATATGGGAGGTGACTATATGGAGGGTCGACTGTACTTGTGACAAACTTCCATAATTGTTACTCAGAAAGTTAGCCGGTACCTTAGTATAGTACCGCCTCTCAATATTTTCTAAGCCCTCCTTAAAAATTAATTAATATCTTATAATTGTCTCAGGTTCATACACAAATATATTATATTTTCAAGTTTGGTGAAAATATGCATTTTTAATGCAACTCTAACCTGATCCAACTATGAATATAGGAATAAAATATACACATATAACGTTCTTCAAGCTTATTTTGCCTCTTCACATTCAAGAGTAATATTATTAATAATACAGCATTTTTAAAATGGAGATTAACATATACATTGTTTTTATCGTTCTCTTTATGCTTGCTGACTTCTTAATCGCTAGTGATAATCATCTAAAGCCATTTCCAGTAATAATAGATGTAGATGGTGGAAGTGACGATTTTCTTGCGATTTTTTACGCGCTTAAATCTAAGGAACTCGATGTACGTGGTATTACTTACAATGGTGACGGAGTGTCGCATGCAGGTATTTAATAGTGTTAAAATTTCTGTTTTAGGCCAAGATAATAATAATATCGATTAATAGCTTCGGCCCAGAACATTGTTGATATAGTGGATGATAATTATCCTGGAAAAAACCTTCCTGTCATACTTGGTGCTGATTCTAACCTGTACAAAACCGACAAAAACCCGGATACTCCAGGCTGCACTTATCAAAAGGCGTTCCCAGAAGGGGCTGGAAAACGTGATCAAGATTTGCTATACGGTCTTAATCGACAGCTTAGGTTATCAAAACGAATATGGTATGACGCCATTAAAGGTTTTAATATCACTAAAGACCTTGCTTATCTTATTGATTCTACGATTGAGGAAACTGGAAAAAAGCCCACAATTATAATGACTGGTCCAGCAACCAACATTGCTACTTTTTTACGTGCATTTCCAACTTACAGCAAAAATTGACAAAGTTTTCTGGATGGGTGGCGCTTTAGATGTTCCTGGAAATGTACTTAGCGTACCGAGTGATACTCGCGCTGAATTTAATGTTTATTTTGATTGTGTTGCTGCTCAAGAATTGCTTGCATCTAACTTAGATATTACTTTGGTATCATTAGATTTTATGGCACAAAATCCACTTAATCCTGCTTTTTTCGACAAACTCTCAAAACTCAAAAGCTTTTATGGTATGTTTGCATATACAGTCAACCCTCCATAAATGCACCCCCTTGGGACCATAGACAAAATTTTCAAAAATGTGCATTTAGAGAGGGTGTGCATTTATGGAGAGCATTTTATTAAGAGTTCTATATGCTTGGGACTGAATATTAGCGTGCATTTAGAGAGGGCGTACATAGTGCGTGCATTTATGGAGGGTTGACTGTAATCTCTTGTCAATTATTCGTGCAACATGGCCTGGTGGGGACTCTGCATTCTTTTCTATTTATTATCTTTGGGATCCTAGAACAAATGCTGTTGTTAAAAATGTTGGTGTTGCCAAAATTGTATCAAATCGTACATTAGCTGTTACTTGTAACGGAGATCCGAATTATGATGGACAGTTTGTAAAGTCTAATACTCTTACAAATTCAAATTTTAAAGTTGCAATTGATGCTATTGTTAGTACCCCTGTTGAAAACTCTCCATATTTTCAAGATTTTCTTAATACAATTAATTACGATTAAAAATAATTTAAGTTAAAAATTTAATATATCTATAAACGAAATTATATAGAATATATCATATTATTGTTAGATCTTATACTATTTATGTTAAGTAGGTGTAAAATAATTTGCAAACAGTATAGTATTTATTTACGTTGCAAGTCGAAATCAAACTTTTATGGATTCCGATGTTGTAAAAACAACGGAGCTATAAATACATTTTGAGTGATAAGAAGGTTCAGCTTTGCAACTTTAATATATGGATTGAGAATTAACTTGATCGATGATTAGGTAGTCAGTAGTCAATAAATTATAAGTAATCTGTAATTCCTACTCTAAAACTCGCTTTATTAAAGAATATCTGAATCTTCAAAAATCCTTTCTTTAAATTAACACAATCTTTGTAATTCTTAACCAATCAAAAACTTAAGTTCAGGTGTAGCGTGAAATTAAAAAAAAGTGTGTAATGGTCTATTAAATCAAACATAGGCAGAGTCACTAATGATCATCACTAATTGCAGATTTTTAATGAGTATCGATGCATTTATTGAGATAAATAACTATACGTTCCCATGTAAGTTTTTTAAAATTTTCACCGGGCTTAAGTCATATATCTCTAGTCAATCACCTTTTAATTACGCTGCATATGGGTTTGAAATTTATTAAATGAATTTATTTATATATTATTTTATATCTTAATACTTGAATTTATTACAAAATGCTGTAATTATTTTATGTCAGGGTAAACTCGTGCTAAATTCTAGTAAAACCCGCTTTGACCATATGGCTAGATAGTGGTTTTTTTTATGTTGACGCGGATTTCACCTTTAAGTGGTCTGCATAGCGGATTTAACCAAAATTCAGCGCGGGTTTCACCCTGTCGTATTATTTTAACTCCTTCAAAAGTCAAAAGAATTTGTTGAAAATTAGATAAGTTTTGAGTGTAACTCGAGATGATTTTTCATGCGATTTTACATAGCTTCCATTATATTCAATCTTTTGAACGCCGTCTAACCGGATTGCCGAAAATACTGATCCAAAACCTCCATCAATTTTTTTAATTTTATCTAACTTTGTGACAATTTAAACAGCTGTAAATCAACTTAGATATACAAATAAAAAAAGTAATATTTATATATATATTTGCGCCAGTTCGTGTAATATGGGGTGTCCCGTATTAAAAGGGACCATTTTGCAATTTTTTCGGAAAATGAGTTTTTATTAGATTCTTGTAAATTTTGACACGATTGATATTTTTCAATTATAAATGAAAGTCGATTTGCATAATGAAAAATGGAGATAATGTAAAAGAAAAATTACACGAGGCAAATCGAATCACGAGATTACCCGATAGTCATTTGTTACCTTTTAATCAATCAAAATCGTCAAAATCGTCAAAATGGGCCCTTTTATTATGAGGCACCCCATATGTTTATTATAAAATTTAATTTATATTCCGAGCTATTTCCTGCTAAGTTCATTGGTTGGTAATAGCAGTCTTTCCATAAGTTTTGTACAGACTAAACACATCAAACTTGTTGGATAAGCATCCGACGAAGATTTTAACAATATTAAGTATGTTAAAGTTCTAACTATCTGTAGAACAAGTGTTATATGTGGCAACTTTTATAAACCGATCATGCTGAAATTCGAAAAATCATTAGATGTCTCAGAATTTATGATAACAGCTGTAAAGAGGGCTGACGTGCATGGATATCCGGAGTTTGCCTTTTAAAATTTAAAAATTTGAGAAATAGGCTTGCTCTAGAGTGAAATCAGAATTATTTTTTGTTTAGTACGCTGCAATAGTTCTATTAGTAAATTTTGATTAATTCCGGCTTAAATTTCGATAGCCTCTCTTAGTCAATCACAATCAGAATTTGCGGTGATACTGTAGTTTTAGTGTGACAGATATGGTTACTGTAAATATTATTGTTTGAAAATGGTTGTATCAGCATGCACAAAAGTAGAAATGGCGAAACTTTAGCATTAGGGATATAGATACATATATGCATTGTTTCGTAAATGCTGCATCAGCATGCAAGTGCGTAAAGTACGTACGTACAGTACATACAAATAATCCTATAATTTGCACGTATGTGATTCTGTTCACTAATTGTCAGTCTCTGATCAAAAATCTAAATAACACCCATTCATTTCAAAATTTAACCATCCTAATTTTTTTTTTTAAAAAAAAAATAAATAATTGTCACATTGATGATTCTCTCAAGCTCCTCACCTGCGAATTTTAACCCAATGGCAGATTCACACAATGATGATGCTTTACCGACGGCATGGGATTTTGAAGATAGGACACCGTTTATTAAGATATATTCAGGTGGTCTTAGAGTGGATTATACGGGTAATGTGGAAATGAGAATCTTTGCAGAAACATATTTTATTGGGTCAACATCTCGATTTAATGAGTATTAACCTTAAATAACAAAAGATCCTGAAGACTATAAAGCTGTTATAGTTCGAGCGAATCATCCCATCCCTTTACGATGTGGAATATTTTACTTTGAAATTGAAATTATAAATAGAGGGGGAAATGGGTAATACTAATGACATAAACAATGCTTTGATTCTTGCAATCTTTTTTTAATTATTATTTATTCTATTTTTTAATAGAATGATTGGAATCAGATACTGTACAAAACAAATTGTTAAAAAATAGACGATTCAAATGAAAAAACAAATTATATAAAGAACATGCGTGTGCTTGGTATTAACAACATTTTTTATTTTATTATGTATTATTTCTTATGATTACATATTAACATCTATATTATAATTAGAGATGGGAAAAATGCGCATTTTATAATAACATGCACGTTATATAAAATGCGCAATGATATCGCATGATATAATTTTTTGATTTTATATTTTCCTCCGGAAAATATCGGATATTTGCCAAAGTTTTTTTCCGACCATTCTCATCTTTATGTTCATTCATTTTCTTTTCGGAATTTTTCAAAACTTCTGCATTCCTATTTCTTAATTTTGCCTGGCATTACACAGTATGTGACTCACTAATGCATGCTATTAACATTATACGTATCTCAATCTAATGTCAATATTACAATGTGCAAAAGTTAATTTTTTAAGTTTCAAAGTTGCAAAAATGTGTGTAATGATTGAAAGTCGATTTTTTTTAAAAAAATTGATATAAATAAATGACAATTGATTAATAATTCACAGTAATATGAATTATGATGAATCTATTATGACATTAAAATATGTCACAATAATTACAGATTTAAATAGATCATCATGTTTTATAATTGAACAAACAAAAATCATTACTCTTAAATAGGATTTTTTAAAGAATCAACATAAGCGACATCAAAAACGTATCATCATCTTGAAATATACCATAAACAGAAAAGGAGATAACTAACCATAATACCTTCTAAAATAGGGAAAATATAGCATACCAAAAAGTTGAACCAAACCATCTCTCACATATTACATATGATCGTACTGGTATATTGGAACTAGTGATGCCTGACGAAACCACTGATACTAATTATTACTTATAAAAATCAAAATAGATCGTTGATTTTTATATATTGTACCATGTGACGATTAGCATCACATGGTTTCGTCAGGCATCACTAATTGGAACTCAGCGACGTCACAATTAAGTTTCGACATAAACCTGGATAGTGATACATCGCTATAGTGGTAAAAACAAAGCCTTTTTTTTATTATTTTATTTTATTTTTACTTTATTTTTTATTTTTTTATTTTTTATTTGAAAACCTTCATTAACCGATAATTTAGGGATAGGATCGGCTTATAATAAGCCGGCTCAGCCACGGCTTTTGAGCAAAGCCGGCTCGGAGCTGATGTAATTAATCGAATTCATCACATAAATTCTGCTTAATGCACGTATGGATTCTGTGCCAGGTTATGCTGATCACTGCCGATCATTGATCACATCGGGTACACAAGATGCATAATTCGGGTAGAACCTTTTCTAAC